ACCGATAAGAAAATGGTGTGACACTGGTTAAAGCGATTGGCAAACTTACCTACCTAGCATCTCTGCTGTCGCGCTAAACACAAGAGGGAGAAGGCAGGGCGGGAAAAGAAAGAGGGTTTTTTTGCCTTGTCATTTTGATAAGCTTTTTTTGTAGCAGATTTGTTATTAAAAAATGTCTTTCATTTCAAAACTTACCTGGTCATTATTATTGTAATATGATTCTTTTCTCAAAAAAAAAAAAATGTTCATAATTTTCGGCTTTTCTCAAAAAAAAATGTTCATAATTTTCGGCTTTTGCATATTTGCAATGCCGCGTAAACAGGAGTTTTTTTCAAAGCAATCCCAGTGTATTGCTGTTAATATTTTCATTTACTTTTGGTAAATTACACTTCCAAACACTAAATGCAGGACTGATTGTAAAAGTAAAAAGCCAGGACTTACGTAGAACCACAAACAACATAAATTGACCTTGGGCAGAAGCATTTGGCGTGAGATTTGGCATTTCCTGGGTGTGTTCGAATAGTGAGAAAAAGGAACCATGGGTTCTTTCAGGAACCATTAGGCCCTCGAAACACTTGAAGGATTTTTTAAAAAGACATAATGGCTAGGAAACTGGATCACCGAACAGCCAGGAAAATCAGATCACTGCTCCGTAATTTCTAATATACGGCAAAATTCAGCTTCGTTATTTACCATGTTAAGTTTGCCTTCATAGCAGTGGTGTTTAATGATGATATACGGGTCGATGGAGCCCCATTCGCTATCGGATCCGCTTACTTCGAATGATCCAGTTCCATCACGAGATGGTTGCGTCGTATTTAGTTTGTCGTCCGCGAATACTGAAGATTAGTAAACAACAGTATTAAGCTTCTACGCAAAAAAATACTTTTAAGTTTGAAAGTTTTCAGACATCTGCTGCCTGTAAGATTTCAGAGATCTGATATCTGATGATGATGATATTATGATACTTTGATCAGCTGTTGATTCATCATAGCACTTCTTCTCGCCATTGATGCCGCTGTAATAGCTTACCAGTTTTTTGTCATAGGCTTCTCTTATTCACACAGTTCTACATAGTCGTTAAAATAATTCTTCTGAGCGATTCGCTCCAGTAATAGTGATAGAAATGTTTCGCTGCTCAGAACTTTCCATGCCCTTTACAGGCGGCATCCGCTTGATTTTTAAAGTGATAACATTTTCTACAACAAGTCAAAACATCGAAGTTGTAGATGGTTCACAGGAAAAAGAAGTGGAATAAGGTAGAAATCCTTATAATTCAAAAAGGCGATGCACGTCACTCTATTAGACTA